ATATATATATATATAGCAGCAGCTTCACCTCCTCCATTAACCCCATCAAAATTTGTTGCTGTTTGGATAGCTTACTTAGCTCTAATATCTGAGTCTCTGCAGCAGTTTGTGTGTTCAGAGCTTCTGAAATGRTTTTCTTCATTGAATGACATCAAGAATGTTTGTGTTTCAGAGGTCCAAACCTCAGACAAAGACCAGAACCTGAAGAACCTCCAGGACCCAGCTGTCTGTCCATGAAGAGTGATGTGTCCAAACATAAACCTCCAGACTTCAGTCCTGAACCCTCAGACACAAAGTAAGAAAACTATTTCTGAATTAAATGAAGTAAAACCAGTGATTTGATTTCAGCTTCAGTTTGTCTTCATAGCCATATCTATTTGAAAAACATTGTGGGTGTTTTTGTTTTTATCATTACGTTAAAAGAAAATCCACATTCAATTGAAATGAGTCATTTACAGTTTTTATTTACTGTTAAAAATTTTTTGCTGTTTAAATGATTCTGCATCAATAATTCAGACACCAATAGCCTGAAAGTCAGTGAGGTTCTGGTTCTGGTCTCTGATAGTTCAGGGTTTTAACAGCAGTTTTCTCCTCATCCTGGAGTCAGAGTGAAGCAGCAGCCAGAGATGTTAGAAGTGATCTGATCTACACTTCATGTTCTTCCAGTTCTTCATCAGTAAATGTCTTCAGAGGGAGGAAGAGGAGTGGTGTTTGTGATGAGGAGCAGCTGTCCTGCTGTTCTTTTTGTCAGGATGTCCTGAAGGATCCAGTCTCTACCAGCTGTGGACACTGCATCACCTCACACTGGGACCAGTCTGCTTCATCAGGACCCTCCTCCTGTCCCCAGTGTGGAGAAAGACCCGGAAGCAGAAGTGGACTTCAGACAGACAGTCAGAGCAGCTGTGTCCAAGGTAAGACATTTCTGTCAACCCGTTGTTTTAATACAGACACAGGCTGTGTCTCAATTCGTGGGTTGCAGCCAACGTCGACTGCATTCGTCGGCCACATACATCACTCCCCCACGCCATAGGCTGTCCCAATTTGTCGGTGCCTATGAGTGCAGCTGACAAATGCAGCCGACGTCTTTGAGTTTTTATGGGCTGCATCTGAGCACGCTACGCAGCCAACGGTATCCCRGAATGCATTGCACCGTGAGGAATTTTTCAGCAAATCAAAGATGGCGGATAAACTACCGACCGAAGTATTCGTCTTAAATATCAGTTTTTTAAAACCTTGCTAATGCATTAATATGTTGAATAGCATACCCAATATAAAACAAGTTTAATCATTTTGTACATTTTAAGTTTTACAGTTTAGTAAAGTTATCTCTCCCTTGGAATTACGTTTTTTCCAACGCCTTTAACTTGTGTTAATTTATATTGGTGATGAAATAACCATATTATATAAATATAATATGGTTATT